TTTTATGGTTTCTTTTAATAATGCTATTTCATCATCATCAATTATTTTGGTCCAACATGCCACCATTTGAGAACTCAAAAAAGGGACAAGCAAAGAATTTGTATAATTTTTGCACTTCAGACATGATTTCCTTTACCCTACAGCCTGGGCATTACAAATGTAATCATGCAAGTGTAAGAGATGATTTGCCTAAAGTTTTGAGGGTACTTTGTCTCTTCGTTCTAAAACTCTTCAGGCATTAGCGCTTCTAAGTCATCTTCCAATTCTACCCCATTTTAGTCAGTAGTCAATTTTACTTTATCAAGCATTCCCCAGGCATTGGGCACAGAACCATTTGCAAAGCAGGGTCTCAGAGATTACTTGTTGAATAAATGAACAAATGCAACCAAGTCTGAAATCATTCCAGATATGCTTTGAAGCCTATGGGGCTTGCTGTAGAACAAGGAGGAGGCACCTATATGGAAGCACGTGTTTTATCTCCTGAATTCTGACCATGATTAGCGATTCCTCACATTCACTATGTCATATTAAATTTAAAAACGGTGGTCCACTGGGAGAAGAGGAGACAGAATTAAAGAAAAGCAGTATGGCCTAAATGAGTCATGGCTCGCAGTCCAAAGCAGAAAAATCTATAAAGCTCTAACCCTATAAATAAATGAAGATTCCCAAGTCTTAAATTCAAAATGTTCATATGTACACAAATTTTGAGGCATTGCTTATCAAGACTGGATCTATGACTAAAAATACAATTATAATAAGAATAGATATTACTTATCCATACTTAGGACATAAGTACACATATATTTATTGGGAGCACTGTGGTTCTATAGGATGAGCACTGGATTGATAACCAGAAAGCTGACAGTATTAGCTCACAGCTATTCCCCAGGAGAAATATGAGGCTTTCTGCTCCCTAAAAGAATTACAGCCTCAGAAACCCTATACAGCATCGTAATGAATTAGAACTGACTTGGCATCTTAACAAAAACAAATATATATAGATAGAGTCCTGGTGTGGCGCTGTGGGATAAAGCACTGGACGGCAAGGTCGGTTTGATCCCAAAGGCCAGTAGTACAAACTCACCAGCCACTCCTCGGAAACCCAATACAGGGTCACTATGAGTCAGAACCGACTCGACAGTACTTAATAACATGATATATACACATATTATATATAATGAGGACTCCTGGTGTGGTGCTGTAGCATAAGCATTAGACCAAGAACCAGAAAGTCAGTGGTTCAAACTCAACAGCTGATCCTTAGAAACTCTAAACAGGGTCTCAAGAGTCAGAACCTTCGTGATGGCATTTAATAACAAAAAAACAATGTATCATGAGGAAGTCTAGTGGTACAATGGGTAAAGTGTTGGGCTACTAACTGAAAGGTCAGTAGTTTATACCCACCAGCCAATCCATGGGAGAAATTCTTATGGAGCAGTTTTACACTATCCTATAGGGTCGCTAGAGTCCTGGTGTGGCGCTGTGGGTCAATGCATCAGACTGCAAATCCATTTGAACTGCAAGGTTGGTGGCTCAAGCTCACCAGCTGCTCTTAGGAAACCCTATCCAGGATTGCTATGGGTTAGAACTGACTAGAAGTCACTTAACAACAACATAGGGTGGCTATCAGTTAGACTCAATTTGATGGCAATGAATTTTGCTTTTTAAAATATCAATCACATTGGAAGAAATATGCATTATGCTTGGTGGTGGTGGTAGTGTGCTGTGGAGTTAGTTTTGACTCATAGTGACCCTGTGTAGGCTTTCCAAGGCTGTAAATCTTCACGGAAGCAGAATACCTCATCTTTCTCCCATGGAGAGGCTGGTAGTTTCCAATTGCTGACCTTGAGGTTAGCAGCTCTACTTGTAACCACTATGCTGCCCGAGCTGCCTTACATATTTTGTTAATCTTTATACATATTATTATTCCTGTTTTAGAGTGTATATATATAAAACTCTTGAGTATATTCCAACTCATAGTGATGCTGTATAGGATTGCTGAGGAGCGGCTGGTGGGTTTGAACTTTTGACCTTGAGGCTCAAACCTACCTTTCAGTCGATGCTTACCCTACCGTGGCACAGCAGAACTCTATATTTAGTCTTTT